CTCAGGCTCTTAGCCTTTCTCTGTTCTAAGTAGCATCCGATTGGGAATTGCTTTCATCCATTGTGAAAATCTTTGTCTTTTAAGTGAAACATTTTTTCCCTTAATGTTAGCAGTATTTTTGTCCTGATGTTGATTCTGCAATCTTCCTGCTTGTTTTCCTTTTTTTTTTTTTTTTTTGGGGGGGGGGGGTGTTTTCCTTTTTCTACTTGTTATAAATGTTTGTTTTCTCCTTTCATGCCTTCTGCTGAACTGACTTTTATGGAAGCACTTAAACACACTCAGGAGACAGCGCCATGCAGTGAGGCCAAGGTTAGCAGAGATTAGCACCAACAGCTGCTGGCGTATGTCCAGCAGTGCTCGTGTCTCTCTGCTCACCCCAGGCCATATGGTGTATTATTTTAAGGCAAATCCCAAACATTCTCTGATTCTGTCTGTAACCATTTCTGTATATAAAGAAAAGACTCAGGAGCAACCTCACTACCCTTACCATCCTCGCTTGTTATTTTAGAATGTCATAAAATATTTAGTTGTGTTTACGTTTTCTGGCTGTTTGATAAATATCTTTGGTAACTGATGGGTCTGAATTGGGATCCCAAAAGAGTCCACACTTTCTTTGCTTCGTGGGTCTCAAGTAATTTCTCACTGGCATCTGTTTTTTCTCTGTCCCTTTCCCTTGATCTTTATTTACACAAGAAAGGAAAGACTCACTTTTTTTTTTTTTTTTTTTTTTAGCATTCTTTTTCTTTTCTTTGTTCTTTTTTTTTTTTTTTTTTTAGCAGAACCAGTGATTGAACTCATGCCCTTGCACTTGCCAGGCAAGTGCTTATTCTCCTGAGCCATCTTCCCTGCCCGAGACCCACATTCTTGTTCCCGAAGCAGGATCTTGCAGCCCTTCGGCTTGCTTGCCCTCCCCCACACCCCGCAGACCACAGTTAGACCCCGATGGCCAGCTTTGGTGTCTGTGCTGACAAGTCCCTCAGTGGTGTCGGCTGTGCTGCTCTGCCCCAGCAGGGCTCTTCCATCCGCTGAACTTCTGTGTGAAGTTAGGGTTGGCCTGCACGTGCAGGCTGAGGAGTCCGTGTGCTCCATCAGCCTTGCAGTCATACATTCTCTGACCCTTTCTTAATGGCTGTGCTAGTGGATCATGAACATGCAGCACCGCGGTGGCTGTCAGGCCGGCACCCAGACGTCGCGCCCGCACTCACATGCTTGCCCGCACTCTGGTGCTCTGCCTACACTACATTTCAGAAGTCCCTTGTGTCATAGTTGTGCAGGTAGCTCAAGTCCTAATCGGTTTTCTGCTGCTGTGACACGATGCCAGGGAGTGGCACTTTGTAAATGGTGGAAGCTCGTGGTTCTAGGGGCTGGGAGTCCAACAGCCTGGTGTCAGCCCCTGGGTGCCATGCTGCGTTATAACATGGGAGGGTGCAAGGCAGGAAGGAAAGCGGGCCAGAGCTCCCTCTCCACAAGCAACACTGCCCGGTTGGCCAGGGCAGCAGCTCTGGGCCTGGGCACCTCTTCACCGTGCTCCACGTGACTCACCATTCAGGTCAGGCGTGGAGCAGACCTGGTCACGGTCCTGGTTCCGCACCGCGTAGCTGCGTGGCTAGGCCTTCATGCCCCATTTCCACATCTGTAAAGCAGGCATGTCAAGGTCGTGAATATCATGATACATGTGTATGCAGTACTGGGGCTGGGGCCGGGTGTGAGCCACCTGCTCCATGGCCACCTGAGACACAGGGCCCTCCTGCCCCTCCTTGGCACAGGACGGAGCCCACTTCCCTCAAGCCTGCAGGGTGGGCTGCTCCTTCCCCATTCCAGGACTTGAGCGCCCAGAGGAGGAGCCTTACAGAGTCCAGATGGAGCTCGGTTTGCTCGATCAGGTCCTGTCCTCTGAGACAGGACAGGGTCCTCGGGAAGCCATCTCTGTCTTTAGGTGATGGAGCCCAGAGCAGGGACTGTGGGTGCTCAGGACATGGCCGACGCCTCTGGGGTTTCTAAGAGCAGAATGTGCCTGCCATGGACCCCTCCAGAAAGTCCTGCCCATCAGTTCCTTGTCCTTTTTCTCCTCTGGCCTCAAGGGGAGGAAACGGGTAGGCCTGAGATACCCCCCGCACACGCAGGCATGCACACAGCCATGCATGCATGCCCCCCCCACACGCAGGCATGCACACAGCCATGCATGCATGCCCCCACACACACGCAGACATGCACACAGCCATGCATGCATGCCCAGTGCAGTCCCAACTCGCCCCCCCAGGGGACTCGGAGCAGGAAGTGATGCTGACCACCAAGACCCCCAAGGCCACCGTCGGGGGCCTGAGCCCCTCCAAGGGCTACACCTTGCAGATATTCACGCTCACTGGCTCCAGGCCCATCCTGCTGGCACGGAGGGAGTTCATGAGTGAGTCCTTGGTTCTCCTCAAGCCCAGAGTGGGCGAGAGTGGCTAGGTTCATGTCCCCTGCTTGCACACCTTCAGGGTCTCATTTCCTGCCCACCTCCCGGGGTGGGGGTCCTCCCTGGAGCCTGCAGCCATAGCTCTGGGCAGGAATTGGGCCCAGGTCCTCAGGCCTTGCACTCACAGCCCTGCCTTCTCTTTGCAGTTGAGGCTCTGAAGAGTAACCCCTTGGGAAGGAGTGGCCAGGGGTCACCAGGGGCAGCCCTGAAGCCAGCCCCCTCCCATGTGGTGGACCCAGACCCCAAGAAGACCCCTGAGCACAGAGTCACCTTTGTCCCAAGCCAAGAGCCACCCACTCTTGGTAGATTGGAGTGGGCAGAGAGTAAGCAGTGGGGAGTGGAGGGGGTGCCCTGAGCCTTGGGTGCCGCTGCCCCTGGAGCCAGGAAGTCCCACCTCACAGTTGATTGCATGTTCTGCAGCTTTAGTTGAGGCTTGCAGGCTGGCCAGGTTCCCTGAATCCAGGCCCTGAAGCCATGTTGCTTCTGACACCCTCGGGAGTCCCATCCCGGGTGTGAAAGGTGAGAAGTAGAGGCTGTGACCCCCTCTCCCCTCTCAGGAGTGCCCAGCACAGATCAGGGGCAGCCCAGGGGTCCTGAGGTACGGGACCCCATTCAGCTGACCGCAGACCCAACAAGACAGAGCCACACTGAGGCTCCTGCTGGAAAAAGAGAGGAACCAGGTAAGGGGGCAGCTCTGTTCTCTAAGATTTACCTCTTGGTCAGATCGGGGTCCCCAGAGGAGATGCCCCCTTTCCCACCAGACTGGAGCCAAAGGTAGATGCTTCTGTCCTTGGCCAGGGTACCACCCCTCTCAGGAGGCCTAAAGGGTACGCTGAGCCTCTTCCTCTGGGGCAGGGGCGGTTGCCTGAGCCTGGGCTGCTGTCACAGCACTGTCCATGCTCCAGAGTCTGGCTCTGGGGCTCAGCCTGCCAGGAGCGGTGTGTGCACAGATTTCGGGGTGTTTGGGGTGCCACCTGGGTAGCAGTGCTTTGTCTCCAAACAGCTCTGGGACCATCAGGATAGTGAGGCTGCAGCGAGACGCTGGTAGGCAGCTCCCAGCCCTTCCTCATCTCAAGTGGATCTGTCTAGAGTCACCTTGGCACTGACCCCTGCCCATGGGACAGCTGGGCCTGGGCTGGAGACTGCTTAGCCGGGAGGCAGCACTGTGCCACCGGGGGCATGCAGACCCAGGAGGCAGCTGCCAAGGGCACAGGCAGCCCCGAGAGCCAAGGCTGGCATCACCCCCTTGGGAATGCTCAGAGAAGCTGACCTGTTGACCAGAGTCCATATGGGATTTTCTAAGACTGGGGAGCCCCAGTGTGCCCAGGGCCTCTGTCCACCAATGAGCAGAGTGCACCTACCACGCCCCGTGAGATGGCCCTTTGGGGGCTGTGACCAGACCCAGATGGCTCAGAGGACTCACCTGCCCCACCTTCTTTCCTGCCTAGCTGGCACCCCGTTCCACTGCACACCCCCTGTGCCCACCGACATGATCTTCCTGGTGGACAGGTCCCGGAGCATCGGCCACAGCCACTTCCAGCTGGTCAAAGACTTTCTGGCCAGTGTCATCTCACCCTTTGAAATTGGGCCGGATCAGGTCCAAGTAGGTGGGTACCAGCCCCCCACAGCCTTCTGCAGAGAAGAGGCAGGAGCAGCCTCCTGGCTCATCACCCGGCTAGACAGGAAGATCCCTGCCGCCCTAGTGTGGTCTGAGTGGGTCACGCAGCTGACTCATGGACGTCCCTGCTTCAGCTAGGACTGCCAGCCCAGCCTACGGGCACAGCTGGCTCCCAGCCGGCTCCCAGGGGGGCACTGGTGGGCCGTGCTGGTGATTCTTCCTGGGAAGCCCTGGGCCTGCGAGCTTGCATCTCCCTGTGGACCAGGCTGCTGCTGGCAGCTGTGTGCTGAGGGCAGCTCCCAGGATATTGTCCTGGCCCTGGCGTGCTCCAGGGAGGCGCACCTGGAAACTGAGCCCAGGGCCTGGCCCCTTCCCCAGGCCTGACGCAGTACAGTGGAGACCCCCAGACCGAATGGGACCTCAACTCCTTCCACACCAGGGAAGAGGTGCTGGCTGCTGTGCGCAGCCTTCGCTACAAGGGAGGAAACACATTCACAGGTTCGCGTCCATCTGCCTTCAAGGGTCTGGCTGTTGAGAAGCCTCGCTCCTTCCTGCTGCTCAGCCTCCTGGTGCCCCGCTGGACCTGAATGCCTGCATGGGGCAGTGGGTGCTGAGCCCAAGCCATAGCTCCAGGGGGCAAAACCACCCTGCACATGCAAATGCTCCTCTGCCAGGCTCTTGTGGAAAGCAAGTAGCTCCTCCAACTGCACGCCTAACCCACCCCCAGCAGGGCTGCCCAGAGGTGTCCCCCAGGGGGCTGGGTGTGGTCTTGCCGGGCCACAGGTACCCTCTGAGAGTGGAAGAGCAGCCTAGCCCCCAGTGCTCCCAGTCTGGCAGGCCAGCTCTTTTGGGAAATGAACAGAGAACCCTCCCACAAGCTGAGCACTGGGGGCAGCTGCTGCTGAGAGGGCCCTGGAGGCAGAAGTGCTGGGTGCTGCCTGTCACTTGGTTTCCACTGCTCCCAAGGCCTGGCCCTGAGCCACGTGCTGGGACAGAACCTGAAGCCCGCAGCAGGGCTCCGTCCAGAGGCAGCACATCTGGTGGTCCTGGTGACAGACGGCAAGTCCCAGGATGATGTGCACACAGCTGCGTGCACCCTCAAGGGTCTGGGCATCGAGGTCTTCACTGTAGGTGAGCCTTGCATGGGCCCTGGGCTCTGGGTTGGTATTTGTGACTGGTGGGCTCTGGATTGCAGGTAAGAGTTTGCGCCTTGGATTCACCTCACTGGAGAATGGGCTGTGCTTGTCCTCTGAGCCTCAGCTTCTATGTTGGCAGCGCCTGGAGAGTCAGCCCCTGCCAGGAAAGGCACCCCTGAGCCTGCTCCTTGCCAGATGTGTCAGATTTTGGTGTCATTGCCTAGTCCTTGCCTAGCTTCTCTGGTGGCCCTAGAGCAGGATGTTGCCTGGCCACTGTCCCTTTGTCTCCTGTGCCTGGCGACTCTCGCCCCAGGCCTTGGTCACACATGCACCACTGGCCAGGCGTCAGTTCTGCCCCACAAGAGGAAATCTAGATTTCAGGTTGTCCCGGCATCTCCCAAGTGCCTGCCCTCTCAAGCGCTCGACCCCAGACTGGCTTGGCCTGTTCTATTGCAGCTCCAGCACGCTGGCCGCCCTGGGCCCTAGCCCCGCTCTCACAGGCTCCCTGTGGCTCTGGCAGCCTCACCCAACCCCATTTGCAAGCAGGATGAGGGTACAGGGAGGGCTGGTTGCAAGTCTATGCTCTCTACCCGGTAGGTGTGAAGAACGCTGACGAGGCTGAGCTGAAGCTCCTGGCCTCCCAGCCACAGGACATCACGGTCCACAGTGTCCTGGACTTCCCGCAGCTGGCCACTCTGGCTGGCCTGCTCAGCCGCCTCATCTGCCAGAAGATCCAGGGCTGGAGCCTGAGCAGGGTCCCTGGTGAGGGGGCAGGGACACTGCTGGGCCTGCCCGGCACTTGGGGCAGAGGGGCAGGGAGGACGTGGTTCCTGGGTGGTTTACCAGGAGGGACTGCAGGCCGAAGCAGGAGGGTGCTGGGGCCCAGACCACTGCCTTCTACCTGCAGCCACCCCAGCCCCAGCTGCACCAACCGTGGACACCTTCCCTGCACCCAGCAGCCTGGTGCTGAGCCAGGTCACTTCTTCCAGTATTCACCTGTCATGGACCCCAGCTCCTCAGCAGCCCCTCAAGTACCTCATCACGTGGCGACTTTCCAGGGGTGGTGCCCACCAGGAGGTGAGTGGCATCAGCTTCCCTGGCTCGGGGGTCCCTGCTGGGTCACCCACACAGAGGCAGGGCAGCTCCACAGACTTGGCCAGCTACACCTGGGAGAGGCTCGCTGTTGCCAAGTAGTAGAATCATAGGCCCACATGACCAGGTCACCCTGAGAAAGGACAGCTGACACTAAGAAGAATATATGCAGTGTATTATTTGTTGAAACTGTCCTTCCGATTTGATTTGAAACTGTCTCATTGCTATCTCTTTGTCAATAAAACTTTGAAAAAAAAATAAAAAAAAAAAAAAGAAAGGACAGCTGGGGGCAGAGACAGGCAGGGCACGTGTGGCGCCACAAGGCAGAGTAGGGAGTGTCCTGGAGGTGGCTTCCACAGGACAGGTAACCACTGTGCCAGGCCAGCTAGGACTTGTTGACTGTCTCTCCTGCCTGCATCTCGGCCAGTGCGCCTCTGCTCAGTGGTGGGGACCCGCTGGGTGTGCATAGACCCCCATTCCCCAAGCCTGCACTCAGGCAGCACCATTCCAGCTCTGCGCCCGGGCCCATTCACCACACCCTGCCCACTTTGGGGGTGCTGTTTCAGGTGGTGGTAGAGGGATCTGCTGTGTCTGCAGAGCTGCAGAACCTGACCTCCAGCACTGAGTACCTGGTGTCTGTGCTGCCTGTCCATGTGGGCGGGGTCAGTGAGGGGCTGCAGGGCCTGGCGACCACAGGTGAGTGGGTGCTAGTGGCCCCTGCCTCCCAGGCTCTGGCACCAGCAGTGGGCAGGCTAGGCTGCACTCAGTCCCCACCCTTTCTGATCCTGGTGTCCTCTTCTGACCACAGCTCATTCCCTTGGCCCATGGCATGTGGCCAAGGTCATGCTGCAAGCCCCCTTTCCCTGGTTTTGTGAATATACCCCCACCACTCAGCCCACACCTTGCAGCAGCCAGTGCTGCTCTGTTTCCCATCTCCAAGAGGACGTGCACCCCTCACCCCCAGGAAGCGCTCAGCCCCTTGCCCACCCGGTCCCTTGCCCACCCCTGCTCTGCTCTTCCCTCTGTGTCCACCAGTGTAGCAAAAGCACCACATGGCTCTTGCGGGCTCTTTTAACACCTTGGGGCTGTGTCCCCCCACCCTTGACAGATGGCCACAGTAGACATGTGGGGCGCCCTGGCTCTGCCAGCACTGAGGATCAGAACAGGGCTCCTGTGGAGTTCAGGAAAGTGACTCAGCATCTGTCCTCCCACAGGCAGGCACAGCCTTCCACTGGCCTCTCCTGGGGGGCACCATGCGGGTGCTGAGATGCCAGGAAGTCCTTGGGAAGCTTGAGCAGGGGCCACCTCCTGTGGGTGTGGCCTCGGTGTGCTGTGTTCTCCAAGTGGCCCCAATGGTTGCTTCTCCCTAGCGCCCCTCTCTCCACCTCGGGCACTGACCCTGGCTGCAGTGACACCCAGGACCCTCCACCTCACCTGGCAGCCCTCAGCTGGGGCCACCCAGTACCTGGTACGGTGCTTGCCAGCCTTCCCCAAGGGTGAAGAGGAGGGGAGAGAGGTACGTGGCCTGGGACGGGGTACAAGGGAGGAGGCAGGTGAGGGAGGAGCAGAGCCAGCTGTGATGCCCCGTCCCTCCAGGTGCAGGTGGGGCAGTCGGAGGTGCTGCTGGACGGCCTGGAGCCTGGCAGGAGCTATGAGGTCTCGGTACAAAGCCTGAGAGGGCCAGAGGCCAGTGAGGCCCAGGGCATCCGTGCCAGAACCCGTGAGTACTGCCTGGCACCTGCCCGTGTGGCGCAGTCCCCGAGCCTTCCACAGCTGAGAACCCCACACCCTTCCATCCCGGCTGTGCCCCAGGCACGGGGAGCAGGATGCATCAGCCCCAAGGCCTTACTCTGCTCTGCAGCAGCCCTGGCCACCCCAAGACACCTGCGCTTCTTGGACGTGAGCCATGACTCGGCCCGGGTGATCTGGGAAGGCACCCCACGACGCACACACCTGGTCAGGGTCAGCTACGTGTCCAGCGATGGTGGCCACTCGGGAAAGGTGAGAGCGGGCCTGCCTGGGCCCACATGCTCCAGGAGACCCCGGACTCAATGTCTCACAGGCCAGAGGAGCCTAGTGCTTCAGTCAGTGCCTGACATGCCCTCCTGGGCATCCCTCGTGCTCCCACATTCAGGCCCTGTCTACCCAGTCCCTCCAGAAGGGCAGAAGGGTGGGCGGGGCCTCAGGGAGGACCCTCCAGACCCTGGTCCTGTGTGCCTGCCCCAGAGGGCTCGGGTCGCCCGCCTGCCCACTCCTGGGAGCAGGTCTTCACCAAGGCCACATGGGCTGGCAGACCCAGAGCTCCCTCTTCCAGGGGGAGCACAGGGTCAACCTCATCCCCACCCAGGATGCTTGGTGCTGGGAGTGGGGGTGAGACTGAGGCAAAGGATCACGCAGTCACAGAGAACAGCCATGGCGAGGTGCACCACTCACATGGAGGCCAAGCCGGCAGAGGGCCGGCTGGGGTGCAGGGAAGGATGCGCCCCGTGGGCTGCCTGGGCTCTCGTGGCCAACCCCATTTCCTGTTTTGGGGGCTGTGGGGTCCTGGCTGCGGGTCCTGGGCCTGGGTCTGCTCCTGGCCTAACGTGTCTGTCTGTATCCCTGCCCCACAGAAGGAGGCCCCTGGGAACGCCTCCTCTGCCACCCTGGGCCCACTGTCCTCCTCCACCACATACACTGTCTGTGTCACCTCCCTCCACCTCGGAGGCGGATCTTCCACACTGACTGGCCATGTGACCACCAGTGAGTGGGCAGAGGGCAGGGGTGGGCTCGGGTGGGCTGCGCCCGCTGCCCCATGGCGCTGTGGTGGCATCTGCCCTGGGCCACAGCTGAGCCAGGTGGGGACAAGTGCTGGAAGGAGGGGTGTGGTGAGGCAGGGCCCGGGGCTGCTTGTCTCAGAGCTGGTGCCCTGAGCTCTGCCTCCCGCCTCTGTCTTCCAGAGCAAGCACCCAGCCCGAGCCAGCTGTCTGTGACAGAGCTGCCAGGGGACTCAGTCAGGCTGACGTGGGTGGCCGCAGCCCCGTCTGGCGTGCTTGTCTACCAGATCAAGTGGACACCCCTGGGAGAGGGAAAGGCCTGCGAGGTGTGGGTGGGCCGAGGGTGGGCGGGGCCTCAGGGAGGGCCCTCCAGACCCTGGTCCCGTGTGCCTGCCCCAGGGGGCTCGGGTCGCCCGCCTGCCCATGCCCGGGAGCAGGTCTCCACCAAGGCCACTGGGCCGGCAGACCCAGAGCCTGCTCTTTCAGATCTCGGTCCCTGGCACTCAGCACTGCTGTCCTGTCCGGGCTGGGGAGGCACGCGGAGTATGAAATCACGGTCCTGGCCTACTTCAGGGACGGGGCCCGCAGCAAGCCGGTGTCTCTGTGCTACTCTCCGTGTAGGTACCGCCTCCTCCACCCGGCAGAGCTGGGTGCAGGAGCAGCCCAAAGGGACCCCAGATTGACCCAGCTCCACAGGTGGAAGAACTGAGATTCCCAGAACCACTGGCAGACAGACCCCTCAATCTCAGGGTCTCCTGAGAGGTCACCTGGGGTCCAGATGACGTGGCATGGGTGACCCAGGCTCCAGGCAGGGGCAGTTTGGGCATGAAGGCCTGCAGGAGCCTCGTGGGGTCTTGGTAGGGCACAGTACAGCAGTAGGCAGGCACGGGGCATGATGCAGCCTCTGGTGGGATGGGGCACAGAGCGCGGTGCAGGCTGCTTGCCTTGTCCCCTGGCCCCCAGGTCCCCTTTATCCAGCCCAGAGTCCCATACCACTTGTGTTGTTGTCCAGCTGCAGCGAGCAGGAGTCCCCCATCGGGCCTGGCCCTGTCCTCAGAGACCCCCAACAGTCTGCAAGTCAGCTGGACACCCCCAAGTGGCCACGTGCTCCACTACCGGCTCGCCTACGCGCCAGCCTCAGGCTCGGGACCTGAGAAATCAGTGAGTCTGAGGAGCTGAAGGCTGCTGCCTACAGGGACCTGCGGGTGCAGGGCTGCTGGGCGACATGCAGCCACCCTGTCTGCTGAGGCTGCCGCTCCTCTATGTGGAGCGACTCGGGAGCCCAGCGTCACCCCAAATGGCCGCTCAGGAAATCCTGGCTCCCCAGGTCTCTGTGCCAGGCCCCAGGAATCATGCCATACTCCCCGATCTGCTGGCTACCACCAAGTACCGGGTCCTGGTCTCAGCTGTCTATGGAGCTACGGAGAGTGAGGCAGTGTCTGCCACAGGCCGAACAGGTGAGTGGACACCAAGACCCGAGCAGCCATGCAACAGGCCCAGCCAGACCCAGCTGGGCCCATGGCGCCTCCAGGGCACGGAGGGACCCTGGGGTGGAGTATGGGGCTCATCTGCACCCGCAGTCACTGCCTGGCCACTGTACACATACCAGAGCGGCAGTAGGTGGTAGGAGGAGGTGAGGGCTTTTCTGTGACGCCTTCCCAGTCTTGTGTGCCAGCCAAGCTCAGGCAGGGGACCATGGCACCCCAGACAGAACCTCCCTGAAGGTGCCCCAACCTGTGCCCTGCCGATGCACCCCTAACTTCCAAGGGGAAGCCAGAGCCTGAGCACAGCCTTGGGCATGGGCCCTGCACAGAGGTGGGACATGCTGGAGTTGGGCTGCCTACTGTTGGGGCTGCCAGTGCCTGGGTGAGTCTCCCTTGGCCCTAGGTACTCTCTGGGCCGGGGTCCAGTGGGTCTGTCAGTTCTCCCACTGTTTCTCTCAGCCAAGCAGCCTCCAGCCCCTCGGTGCCAACCCTCAGAGGCCTGAGTCCCCCTCCTCGCTTCCTTCTGGCACCCTAGGCCCATGTTGCCCAGGTGAACAGGGCTCTCAGAGTGGACAGCTGTCAGCGTGGGTGGCAGTTCCAGCCACAACTTGCACATTCTGTAGGTCTGGCCACTGCACATGCCCCTGTGCCCAGCCCCCTCCACGTGCCCAGGCATCGCCCACCTTGCTGTCTGGGAGGTCAGCGCCTCAGGAGAAGCTGGCCCTGGGCCCAGATGAGCCAGCTGTTCCTGTCTCTTTCTGAGGGTGGTGGGCACCATAGGCCTTGTGCACAGGCACAGAGGTGGCATAGGCTGAGCTGTGTGCACGCAGGAGGAACGGCGCTGTCCACGACACAGCCTCCTCTGGTGGCTGCTGAGCTCGTGGCGCGCGTGGCCTCTGTCTCTTGCGGCAGCCTTCCCGGCCCTTCACTGGAACGGCTCCCTTCCAGGTAGGTCCTGGGCCCTGGGCCAGCCACGTTCTGTCCCCTGCTGCTTGCTCCTTCGGGGCTCTTCCTGGGATACAAGGACTAAGGGAGCTGCGAGCAGGGACCTAATGCAGCACACATGCTAGGGTGAGTCCTGTAGCTTCTCTGGTGGCCCCACGAGACAGGCAGAGTGGCTGCATTCTGCACTGGGGAGCTGAGGCTCGTCCAAGGTTACCTGCCTGACGTACAGGGCGAGGCAGAGCTAGGTAGGCCCTGTCCTTCCGGCCCCGGGAGGCTCACTGCTGACCAGGTGCTGAGGTGCGCGTCCCTGAGGTTGGGGAGTCTTGTTCGAGCTTCGTGAGAGCTCAGCCCTCCTCAGAGAGGGCAGGGGGTCCGCTCAGGGGCTCTACCCAGCATGGACAGCGTGGAGGGTGCAGGGTAGGGTCAGGCCACGGAGGATCCTCAGGCCAGGCGAGTGGCGCCAGCTCCTCAGGGAGGAGCACAGGCTTGGAGCTGAGGTACAGGGTCTGCTTGCCTGGGGCAAGGGCCAGGGGCTGGGACCGGCTGCCCGGGCTCCCTCCCTGGGCCTCCCCAGTGGGGCCATTTGTCAAAGCAGTTTCTTCAGTGTCAGGAAGGGGCCAAGGGGCAGGGGCTCGTTATGGCCCGGGCAGGGCTGGGTTCTCAGGGCTTTGGGGCCGCAGCTACCATTTGCCAACACCCCCAGCCCAGGCTGCCCCTTTGCCAGCCCCTTCTTCCCCTACATGGTCCAGTTGTCTCTGGTCGCCTTTCCTGTCCTGCCAGGGTTTGACCTGATGGTAGCCTTCGGCCTGGTGCAGAAGGAGTACGCCTCCATTCGCGGTGTGGCCATGGAGCCCTCGGCTTGGGGTCTGACCCCAACCTTCACGCTCTTCAAGGATGCTCAACTGACACGGCGGGCCAGGTGATGAGGCATGGGACTGCAGGTGGCCATCCAGGGCCAGGTGGGCAGGGGAGGGTGGGAGAGCCTGGCCACACTCCTGGGGCTCCTAGAGCCCCGAGGCCCTTGACTTCATTCAGCAAGTCGCAGACTGGCTCAGCCCACCGTCTCTGGGACTCTTAGTTACAGATGCACGAACTCTCACAGGCGCAGAATGAGCCACCCGTGGTAGTTTCTGCAGTCTCACGTAGGTCTTCCCCCATGTCTGGGCTCGGCCATGCCGCCAGCACCCTGTGTGGCCCTTCGTCTGCCTTGCCCGGTTTGCTCTCTGTGCCACTGGGCCACGCGGCCACCGTCCCAGGCTCACTGTGACTGCTCTCTAGGGGCCGTGGGAGCGCCGGGGCCCCTGGCGTGTGGCCGCCTCCTTTCCGTTGACCTGATGGTCAGATGTAAAGCTGGCCTGAGTGCACACGCACACCTCACAGTGAGAACCAGGACTTGCCTTCCAGACTCCAAGGACCGAGACAAGGCCACAAAATGAAAACGAGTGTCGTGGCCTTGCAGGGCCTCAGGCTGTACGCAGACGCAGGAGCGACCTGGCATCTGTGGTACAGGCCCACCCCTCATGCAGGCAGAGAGGAGGTGCCTGGAGGTCTCACGGGGCCCCTGTCCCCCCATGTGCCTCCAAGCTGGGGAGACTGGGACTCTGGCAGAGAGGCTGCTGGTTGGGCAAGGGACGTGGAGCTGCTGTGACCGGGGCAGGAGGTACACGGAGAGCACACCCCCACCTCAGGAGAAGGAGCTTGTGTCTATCCAACTGTTAACTAAAGCTTCTTCCTGTTGCTGGGCTTGGGTTTATGGAAGGCTGTTAGGGTTGATCTGTTCCTTTCTAAAAAAAATTATCTCACTGTTTTAAAGTCTAAATTTAATTTAAATTGATACATAAAAACCTATGAGCTGTACCTACCACAAGTGTCTCGATCCCACAGTACAATACGTGCTAGGAAGCACTTAAATCAGGGTGAACATACCCGTCTCCTCCAGCTCTTATCATTTTGCTACAAGGAACGCAGGATCCCTTCTTGGCCTCTGGCGTGGAGGGAGTGGGCCTTACCTGTGTCACCCTGCTGCGCAGTAGCGCCGCAGAGCCTTTTGCTCCAGTCGCTGTCCTTAAAGCCCGGCCAGCCTGCCCCTCCTTCCTCGCCCTCTGTCCCTAGCCCCTGGGGACGCCACTGCTCACTCTCCTTCTGGGAGAGTGACCTCTTCAGCTCCACCCATGAGTGGGCTCACGTGGCTCGTGACTCTGTGCCTCCCACTTGGACTCAATGGAATGAGCCGCAGGTCGCTGAGCTGCTCAGGTGATAGCGCTTCCTCCCCCGGGCCAGGTTGTGGCCTGCTGTGGACGTGTGCCACGTTTTCTCTGCCATTCCTTGGCTAATGGCCCTCAGGCTGATGCCACGTCTTGGCTGTGGGCGCCAGACACAGATGCCATGTCCACTGGACGCGTACCTGGCAGCGGGGTTGCCACGCCTCAGGATCATTCTCTTCCAAGTCTGCGAGGTCCCCGTCCTGTTTCCAGGGTGACCCTCCCACCAGCCCTGTAGGACTGCCCCTTTCTCCACCAGCACTGGTTGCTGTTTGCTTTTTGCTGATAGCTGCTCTCAAGGGGTGGGCGGGTCTCCCTGTGATCGACTTACCTTTCCCTGGGGCGCAGCGATACTGAACGTTTGTTCCTCTAGCCACTGGCCTTTTGTGCGTTGTCTTCTGAGAAAGGTCCATGAGGGCAGGGGAGGTCTGGTCCCCACCTTGGGCTTGGCATCCTTGGGCTTGGCATCCTTGCGCTGAACTGATAACTGTTGCCTGATTTCCTTCTGCCCTGGTCTTGGCTGCAAACACCCCTCAGCATCTGTCCGCATTGTGGCGGAAGTTCTGTCAGAGTGGGCGGCTCCATCCCTCACATGTGGGCTCCAGCCTGTCCACTGTCGTCAGGGGCAGGAGGATGCTGCAGAGCCCAGGCTATTCAGGGGTCATTTCTGCTGCCCTGTGCCCTGCTCCTTGTAAGGATTTGGGAAGGAATATTTACTGTAGTGACCAAACTGGAGGTGAGCCAGAGGCCAAAGATAGGTCACGGCCCCTAGGAGGGTTGTCATTCTCGGGGAGTGGGGGGTAATGGTGAAAGAAATGTCCATCGGTCCGTTGGCCATCACTGTGAGGAGGGCATCCCATGAGGGCATCAGGGTGTCCAGGGATGGGAGGAGTACTGACATGGGCCCATGATTTTTGAGAGAGAGAAAGAGAGAGAGAGAGAGAGAGAGAGAGAGAGAGAGAGAGAGAGAGAGAGAGAGA